CCTCAGATTCAAGTCCTACAGTTAGAGGAAAATATTTGTCTGATATATGCTAACATGACTGTCAAAGCATATATAATAGAAAAAAAATATGCTGATTATATTCTCCAAATTAGAACTGCAACTAAGACTTCTCCTGTTCTCAATCATATTACCCTTTATCTAACAATACTTCTTTCTGGTAATAGTATAAAAGGTTTAATAGAGGAAATATACCTACATAGTCTTTTTGCCTCTCCTTTAAATCTGTCAATTGAGGTTTTAGCCAAAAGAGCCATTCTAGCAGTACAAAATATTGATGTAGACTATATTAATAATAAACTCCTTATTTACCAAACCAGTAATTCAGCTATCAAGACCTATCTTAGTGCTGACACTGTTTCTGATAAGAAATAAACAATGTATTCTTCTGAGTATTTTAATATATTACAACCTTCTAGAGTTCTACTATGTTCATTATATTTAAAAGCCAGTATACTAGTTATGCTTTTATGAAATTTGAATCCATATCAAGGTCTTTGTAATAAAACAATACTTAAGATCATAGGTCTTTTATGAAATGTAATATGTGGTAAGATTTATTAATTCATTTGTTTTTTTCTAATTAAGTATATTATTATTAAGATTATACTAATATGATATTTAATTTTGTACTTAACAAGTATTATAATAACAGATACAAAGACTGGAACTGAAGTCATGATTCCTTGAATTCATATTTCTTCTTAAGAATTATAAGATATTTCTGTAAATCTGATTCAACTTCAGTTTCCAATTCAGTTAGTATATGTAATAACTATGAACAAGATACAGAGGCAATCATTAGAACATGTTGGGATCAGTTTATGTAAGGAGGTATTTGGACATGAGCAATTGTATATTACATTATTAAGAGCAACAACTTGAAGTAGTGAAAGGATCAAAGTATTCATACCTGATTCAGTATATCAAGAAGAAAAGTTGTGCAAAAATGCTGTGTATTCTGAGGTTTTTTATATATAAGTTTTTTTATTCTTTTTTTTTTTAATATCTCTGCCTTTTCTACTCTATGATTTGATTATTCTCTTTTATATTCTGTTTACTTTTATCTCCTACCTTTCTTATTTATCCTCACTGAATTTGTCTATTCATCTTTTCATATGATCTTATTTTCTCTTTTACTTTAATTATTTCTTAAGACTTTAATTTTTCTTATTAATGATTTTTTTCAATATATATCTACCATTAAATTTTGTGGGTAAATTGCTATTTATCAAATATAGTAATCACTTAAAACTACACTCCATTTCGGCCCCGTGTGGTAACCACACGGGTGACTATCTTGTACCATTTAAAGGAAGCTAATTCCAGACTAGACCTGAAAGAGGTAACAAGGTTCCCGTGCTCTCGTTGCCGGATTTTGTCGAAAAAGCCCCAAACGGGGATGCCGCCCAGTTGCCTAGTCCGCAAATGGAATACTTACTTGTGCCCTTTTGGCACCTGCGGTATAGTGCACTACGGTACCATCATTAACTGCACCTATCGTATCCCATGTAGCTACCGTACTAGTAGCAGTGATTTGGATACGGGTATCCGTAACCCCTTCCTCCCCCTTCCCTTTCAAGTCCCTCTCCCCCACAGCGACTTGCCACAAGCATGGTAGGCGAGAATCTGGCGACAACGGTCCAGCACATAAAAAAGAGCGAAGAACAAATACAACCGGAATAGAAACAGCCTAGCTATGGACATACCTGCGCTGTTAACCGTGCAGTTCCATGTACCGGTACTCCACTCGCCCAGGCAAGAGGCACCCGAAAACGGGGAAAGAAGGAATACCGGTATACAAGTACGAGTACAAGTACCGGAAGGCCAAAAAAAAACCTGTGCTTTTCTTAGCGCAAATGCAAAGTATACCGTAATTACCCACTTGTTGTCGGGTACTTGTACCGTACCGTACACTCCGATACTTTTAGGATGCGGTGGCACGATAAGGTTATCAGGAAGGGGTAAATTTACCGTATTCCCCTCCCCCCCCCACCTGGCGGCGCTCCAAGATTCATGATAATCGGGGACACGGGCGGTCACTGGATGGAATGTCGTTGAGCTGCAGACCAGGACCAGGACAGGGCTCCCTTCTCGTGCAGTTTTATGTAGGTTGGCGAAGTGCATTTTTCAACTCAACTTTTTTTTTTGTTATCATATTTATTTTCCCCTCCGATACCGGTAGTCCTCAACCGCGAGTCCGAGGGGGCGAGCTCCTAAAAAGCTCTTCACCGCGAGCAGAACCGGTGATTTCTGCTTTGCTCCCGCCCGATGCGGGAGTGCAGAACTTTGCGAAATTTTTTGCAGTGTCTGTGGGTGGTGCAGGGATGCCAGCGGAGTGAATATGGGGGGGACCTTTGTAGGTAAGAGTTCCATGCGCTTAGCGGTAAACCTTTCCGGGTATGATATCGTCGACCGAGAGATTTAGACTACGGTACCATCCTACCGGTATTCGATCCTTCGGACAGTACTCGGGTGTGGACGTGGGATACCGGACAGCCAGGGATTCTAGAGGCCTGACCGTCCTTGCCCTCATAGGAAATAAAGGAATGAGTCTGGCATGAGAATTGCTCGAACAAGCAAGAAGCTTTGACACCTCTAATCCCTAGCTGTCCGATATCCCACGTCCATACCCGAGTACGTACACTCTTGCACTTATTCCCAAAAATTGAAAAAAAAAAAAAAAAAACAACGCACTACGAGTACAAAGATAAAGAATTAATTAAGCTTGCTAAAATCTTCCCAAATTTTCCCGAGGGATTGGACTACCGGTAAGTGATTTAGCACTTTTTCTTTCTTCGGGAATCTTGTCGCAACAAACCATCCACAACCTACTCGAGTCTCATACCACTTGTCAGCGAGAGTGGACCAACACACAGGAGTGCTTTCCACTGGTTACAGACAAAGTCAACAAAGTCAAGAGAGAGAAAAAAACAAATAATATAAAAAAAGTAAAAAAGTAAAAAAGTAACACCTTATCGGCACGTGGATTCAGCCACAGCGTGAGCTTGTATTAGGAGGCGGATCAGATGTTTTACACCTGGGACTCGTGCGCTGGACGGGGGGGGGGGCCATCTGACGACGGGGCCGTTTGGTGCTGTAAGTTTACCAAGTGTCATGATACCCGTGAATGGAGTCATCCCCGCCAGGCGCTCTACGTCTACCGATGTTGCGGGGTAGGATATTGAGTTTGGGGGGGTTAGCTTCAAACCATAGACTAGAAAGTTAGAATACTCGTAAGCTTCTGTTTCTTCTACCTACTATCATTTCCTTCTTGGAGTATATGGTTTAGAGGCTGACTTTACTTGTAGTCTGTTAGCGACCGCGGAAGAACCGATAAGCAGTGAAACAATTCCCCAATTTTGGAGGGGAGATTGCCCAATTTCAGCGGTCGAAAAGAGGGGAATGAGGGGGGAAAGGGATTTAAAGGACAGGATAAAAAAAAGATTTTCTGCGACTGGAATATTTTTCTTTTTTTCCCATTATCAAGTTTTATCCCGGACTAATACTACGGTACACGCACCAGCGGAGTATCATGCCAAGAGAGAGAGAGTATCCTTGCGCCTCTGCCGGTATCATACCGATACCTTACTCGACCCAACCGTTCGGAGACTTTGGAGAGTTTTGCCCACCCCCACTTTCGAATCATTGTTCACGTGGTGGGGTGGAGGAGGTGAGGGGCAAGAAAAGAACCACGGTTAAGTTATTGTAGTGGCCGGGGGAGGAGGAGGGATCGTCACCCGTTTCAGAAGAGGTGGAAGGAAAAACAGGAAATATGGGGAAATGATGCTAATTAACGGAGACCTGTCGCCCTCTTCTTTCACGCAGGATGGGTGAGGCTTCCCATGCGCTACAAGCTAGTAAAGGTACAATATGTCTGGCGCGCTATTTTTCCTTTAACCTGTATCCCATTATCCCTTACCAGGTAAACTGGTGAGGCATTCGGTCCAGATTGAAATGTCTGGCACTAACGCATTTAAGTATTATATCGTGCCAACGCGCGTGGTGTCGAGAAAAATCGAAGCGGTTGGAGAGAATAGTTAACAAAATAAAAATATAGTACTAAAGGGCAACGGTGGCAGCATGCAACTTAGGTAGAAATATTCTGCCTTGTCCCTGAATAAAAGAAATTCATCCTGTTTCCTCCGACCTTCGATCCCAGTGTCCAACTCCTGTTCCACCTCCATTTCCGTAGCCTCCATTATCTCCTCTAACTCCTCTCCGTCTATCACTCGAAACAAATTTCCTATCCTCCATGCTTTTGTGAAACAAAAGAAACTATAACTGGAGCGTGCTTGATTAAGATGGATTGAGAACACGAATGAGGGAAGCAACACAAGTGCGAGAATGATGGACTAAAGATGAGAGAAAGTAAGGAAACATTGGGAGAGAATCAGTAATTGATGATGATAATGAACTGGCTCAAGGGAGAACAGGAGAGATATATCTTCAAAGCAACAACAACTCTGAAACTCCAAAGAAAGACAAGACTTGGAATTTCATCCATGGAACACATGGTCAGATTTATGTATTTAAAGACAGCTAATTTCCATGATGAAACAGCAGACTTTGATACTAGACAGTATTCTAATATACTTAGTTGAATGGTTACTACTTTAAGTTCCTGTTATGCTATCTTTCTCTCAGAGCCTCCCTTAGTGTAATGGTTTTTACAAGTTGTAGACTAACTTGTATACTACTTTTATTATACTCAGAAGTGTGACTATAACCTCAGTTGCAACCGGAGCTGGTACTTAGTTAGTTTGTTTTATGTTTTATTTTAAGTATTGGTTGATACTTGGTTATTTTTATAGTTTGATTGAGTAAGAACATGAGTGAGAATTCATGATCATACTCAAATTCATGTATGATACTTAAAAAGACTGCTGATTTCTGCTCTGGAAACAGCAGACTTCGATAGACAGTATTCCAATATACTTAATTGAATGGTTATCTTTATATTTCTCCTCTATAACCACCTCTTAAAGTCTTCCTTCAAGTTAGCGAGTTTGGCTAGCTATCTCTAGTAGATAGCTTCCTACTCCTATTGTACCTGACAGCATAGTTGGCACTCTGGCATGAACACATTACATCGGTGCAAACATGTTACATGATATATATAGTCTAGAATTTTCTCCTCTGGAAAAGGTGTAAGAAATATACTAAATAGTCTATTTTCTATAACAAATAGAAAAGAAAAAAAAGTCAAATCTTACTAGAAGAGGCAAGTCTAATATTCTAGTTAGTAGTAGTACAAGGCTCATTTATTTAAGTTATTACAGTATAGGACTAAAGTTCTTATTTTTCTAATTATAGTAGTATTATATAATACTATTACAAAAATTGAATAATTAAAGTCTCTATTATAGTTTGTATAACTATAAATCTATTCTAGACTATTAGTATAAAGAGTACTACTATAATATAATTATCTATCCTTACTATAAATAGAAAATTAAAAGTATTGGTATTTGAATTTTATTAAAGAATATTATAGGTTAGAGCAAGGGTATTAACTGGTACTTATGAATTATACTCTGTAAATTATAGTAAAATATAATAACTTGCATAGATTTTTCAAATCTAACTTAATAATTTATCCAAAATATACCTTATCTACTTTTAAAATACTGTATTATATACCACTCTCTTCTTAGACCTACTTTTCAAATCTGAATACCATACCTTTTTTTTTTTTAATTTTATAAATTAAAAATATGTTTAAGCAAATTCAAATCAAGGTTTTAGAAAACAATTTACCAGATTCTGTAAATACAATTTAATAGCTTATATAATATTAAATAATATATTTTCAAGAAATAATGTTCCATAACATACTAGGAAAAATGATAGTTCCAAACTACTAGCATGTTCTGTCTAGTGTTCAAATAGATGCTTTGGCAAATCATCAATTCAAGACACATTTTATAGTTGTATTAAAATATGTTGCAAAATATCTTTTTCAATTCAGAAATATCTTGAACCAAACAGAGCCTTATTTTACCTGTAATTACTATAATATTACTACTTCTAATGTTCCACTCTACAAATTCTACTGTCTCAATTTATTTCATTCTTTAGAATATTTCTATTCCTTCTTCTTTTCTCTTTATATTTTCTGCACCTATCTTGATATTAATTATCACACCTTTTATCACAAATTCCTTTTCTAGTTTCCACCTATTTTGGTTGTGGGATTAACGATCCGTAAATTAGGATCATGCTGAAGAGCTTGAGCCAGTCCTCGAGTATACAGCCTAAGTGATGGGTTATTCTTTAGTGGATTTGCTCCACATTTTAGGATTTAAACGAGCTACTATTATGTGACTCAGCTGTTCAGTACATATCGTTCACTTCTCCCTCTATGGCTTGGCTATTGACAATTAAGCTGGTTGATCGACTCTACAAGTATGCCCCCTTTGAATAGTGAAACAAGAGTGTACTCGTACGGTTTCCGATTCAGTATAGACTGCATTTGGCCAAGTGGTGGGCTAAAGGGTATGATACTATCTTAAAGTGCACTCCCGTTCGCAAAGTTCTCATACTCTTCCTTGCACCTCAAGAACTATATCCTACCCATTAACAAGACAACGGGAGCCTTTCAGATAACGGTTCCTCGAATTGTTATCGGTTATGCCTCTAGGGGCATTTCAACTCTTATCACAGTTTATTCTACTGGATATAGGCGAGAGGGGGTTTGCGAGGTGTTTCTGAGGGCTGGTGATGCTTAGCAGGGCATGGGAACTTTGCGAACGTTTGTGTACCCATCGATCGAACGGCGGGAATAGAGCCAAAGGTTGGACCTGCAGAATAGAGTCCCTGGGACATTCCCACTTCATTGAACAGCCAATTGTTTCCTAGTGTCAGTGGAGAATTGCGAATTGTGAAGATTTATCAAACTCTGTAGTATTGCACTCAAAATTTTAACATTGAACTGAATTCCTATTCTATTCGTAAACTACCTGTACTATATTCCAAAGATACTGATTGAAATCACGTGATAAACTGCAGGTCCTGGCCAATGGTATACGTACGCATCGTTTGTCACTCGTTCGCGGGTCGGCGACGACAAACAAGAGAAATCATTTCCTCTCCTATATCCGCTTTTACATAGAAAGCTTTTACCCTCCATAGCACCTCTCTCCTCACATCTTGCCCCAGCTCTAGTATTCCCCTTCCCTCCTATAACATGTATCATACTTAAACTTCCCATCGCGTCCTCATCTACTTCCCCTTACCCACCTACGTGCACAAAGAAAATCCACTTCTTGCTCTATACATAATTTCCTTCCGCTCTATTCCTACCTGAATTTCCGCGTGGGCATCCGTAACTGCTGGCGTGTTCCATTACATCTAGCCGCATACCTCTCTTAGGTCTCTGACCTTTTTTCCTTCCCTCCGCCATCCTTAACCTTACTTCCTCCCCCGCTGCCTTTTCCTTCATCTCTCTCTTCAGACTTCATCCCGCCAACACTAACATCTCTTCTTACCACTTTTTCACCACGCTAATATCCAGAAAAATTTTCTACCTTTGCTCAATCTATCTTTTCGGAAAAAAAATCGTCACCATGTCTAACGCTACGGATTCCACCGGCAGTCAAGAGAATCGTCCAGTCACCCCTGCCAACCGCTCCCGCAGCAATACTATGAGCACAAACCCTTTCAATAATGACATGATTCGCTACCAAAACCACCTTTATACTAATTATGCGGACTCCCGCTCGGGAAGCCAAACTAATGAGGTAAGCTAGAATTGCCTTTGGTCCCCCTTAGAAAGAGAATGCTGAGTTGGTTACCAGGAGGGCGATGATGCCCATGTCATCTACGTTTCTGGAATCGTTAGCTCTATCGAGGATAGTGCTTTGTGTGATGTGTTCAGACAGTTCGGTAAACATTATCCTCTCCCCAGGCGAATCGTGATTGATTGTTTTCAGGTCGAATCATCGATATTCTTCGCCGCCACGTTGGGTTTGAAACCAAGGCTGGCGGTATCCAGCAATACGCCTTTGTTAGATTTGCCAGTGTCGAAGACGCCCAACGTGCCCTTCAGGCAGCTGAAGTTACCCTGGGAGATAGGAAGCTGTAGGTTTCAGCTAGTTTGCCATGAAGAGAGCTTGTAGGATGAATCGCTTACGAGTACCCTAGGACTATCAAACCACGCGAGAGGCGCCCCCGCAGATGTTTTACTCGTGAAGATTCCGGATACGGGAAGTACAGTGATAGTAATGAGAGGATTCTCAACGCCATCCGTGGAACCAGTCGCCCCGATTCTAGAAAGGGGCATGCTTTCGGGCAGCGATACGAGGATCATAATGGGGGCCAAAACAACCTCTCTACAACCCCTAATGGACAGGCTGGAGGTTACGACCCCAGCGTTGCTCCCAGTGCTGGGATGAAGTCTCCCGATGATAGTGGTGACGTTTGTCGTCCACAAGTGTTGATGAGTAAGGCTTTATTCGTGGCCGGTTTACCTTTCGATATGTCCCCGAAGGAATTGTTCATGCTTTTCGCTGAGCAAGGCCCAGTCGAAGGGTGTTACATTTTTCCATTCCTTGACCCCTTTGGGCGTAGATTCGGTCATATGGTTATGGCCACATTTTTTGCTGCTCAGAAGGTACTTGCACCCCTTCTCCATTCGTGACTTCAGTTTTTGTCCTAACAGACTGTAGGCTCAAGAAACATTTGATAAATGTACCATACGAAATTGTCTTCTAGAGGTTGGCTACCGGCATCTGGAGCCTCTTATGGGAGGCCCTGAATATAATTCCCAACAACCTGGATTTCAAGGACCGCCTACTCCATCGTTCCCAATGTACTGCCCTACCGCCCCTCATCAGAATTGGGCCCAGCATCCGTTTATCGGCCAGATTCCTGCACATGCAGGGCTAGCGCCACAAATGATGGCTTTCAACCACTCCTATCTCCCATTCCCCCCCGGCCATGTTCCCCCTTCTGCATACGGCCATCAACAGATTCATATGATGCCACCTCCCGGCCTCGAGCAATCCTATGCGCAGTACGGTACCCCACCAAATTCACCACCTTTCCATGCCCATGCTTTCGGGTGGCAAGCTCAGGGACGTGGTATGAATCGCCCTTTTCAAAGCGGAAGAAACTTCGCTCGTCGCCCATCATACCGTCAAACCGCTTCAAATTTTGCCCCATCTTCCCCAGGGACAGGGAGCGGAGATCAACACATCCGTTCCATCTCTAACTCTTCCTCTAGCACACTTGTCTCCGGTGGATCCGAGCAAAAGGCCCATGGCCCGGTCATTGTCAATGGCTCCTATCCGTATGGTGGGTATGGCACTCCTCAAAATGACCGTAATTTGAAGGAAGAGACCTCACCTTCTGACGAGCAATCGACACCATCTCCGGTAGCCGTGCGATCAGCCCAAATCCCTCAAATCGTCGAGACGCCAATCAGGCCCGGATCAAAGTCCTCCTTTCAGTCCATAGTCCCGGAAGCTGTACCTGAAACACCGAAGCCAACAGACCCTGCCAATCTTTTTGTCAAAAATTTTGATGACGATATTATCTCGGACCCTGACGATCTCAAAAAATTGTTCGAGCCCTACGGTCCTGTTGCCTCGGCTCATCTTGCCATGATCCCTGGGACCAACCGGAGCATCGGGTATGGGTTTGTAGCATTCGCTAAAGCAGATGATGCAGCGAACGCAAAATCGAAATTGAATGGCTCCATGGTTGGCAAAAAGCGGCTATTCGTGAGCTACGCCGAACGAAAGGAGGAGAGGACCCAGAGACTTAAGCTGCATTTTAAGAAGGAGAGGAATGGGTTTCGAAGTGATGTAAATGAAGTTGATTCTAGTAACTCTGAGAGCGCACAGGCCCGGCCTTCAGACAGCGGGGAGGAGGGAAGCACCGAGGGTACTGAAAAGGGCGAGAAGAACGAGAGTATTGAGAGAGAACCACCAAGCCCCCCCCCTGAGAAAAACACAAGCCATCCTGAGCATGGTCCTGACCAAAATGTAATCAGGGAATCCTCAGAGGTATCTCGAATTGAGGAAGGCAGTGAGGAATGCAGTTCAACCGCACAAGTACTTTCTGGGGACGGCCGTCCTCCTTTCACCCTTGTCGAGAACGTCCCGCGTACTCTGGCAGAACAGGACACCACGGCGGCTACAAGGTGGCGTGGAAGGACTCAATTAACAGGGAGTAAGTATTCTGAAATTCAAATTTCTTCCGTCCGCGATAGTGCTAACTATCGTCCCAAAGTCACCGAAGTAGAGGAGGAAGTTCCTGCAGAGACTGGCAATGATGGCAACACCGCGGCATATGCTGAGCCAACACTCCTTCAAATTCATGACCAGGTCGTGCATCCTGTCTCCGGGCGAGTGCAAGCGCCTAGTTTCCAAGACCAAATCAAGGAGCAGAGGCTGCAAAGCGATTCTACTCAGCCAGATGCACCCGGTGACTTTTTGCGATCAAGTGGGGGGAACAATAACTTTCAGAGGCAACAGCATTACGACAATCGCTCTCCAAGCCCTCACAACGGCAGTCGTGGTCATGGAGCACAATATCACAACCACGGTCAGAATGGAACTGGGAGAGGCTATCGGGGTTACGGATATCAGAATCCGAGTTTCGGCCGAGGTGGCCTCAGATTCTACGGGAATAACAGACTCGGAGGTAATGGCGGGTATCACGGCTCGTTCAGCAACTCGACTTCTGGTGGACGTACTGTATTTTTCAATAACAGCACTCAGCCTTTCTCTACAGAGAGTAACCACGAACCGATTGGGCCTCAAAATCAGCACCGTAAGAAGAAATGGCAAAGTGGGAACAGGAATGGCCGCGGGGGACAGCAGCAGAGGGGATCACCCGTTAACATTGATCACCACACGGTCAGTAACGTGATGCTCGATGTCGGCGACACTAGTCAGGGGGCGGTAGCAGCTTACTAAGTTGCACGGACGTGTTCAAGAAAGAGAGGGAGAAGGCCATGAATGAGGATAGGGATGGCGGTAGGGAAGGTCGATGGGGGGAGGGAAAAATCGGTGAATTGTGAGGGTGCGGGGGGCTTGAAGTGGCTAGAACATAGTATCCCTTATCTCAAAGTTCTAGCTAACTTGCTGCAGTTTTTCTTTTCTTTTTTCTTCTCTCGTTGCTTCATTCCTAGAATCTCACTCTAGTCTTGCACTGTATCCGGGTGCTCTAATTCCATGTTTTGATTTTTTCAAAATGTGTTTCAGAAGTGGTTCTTGTCTAAAGAGCCCCCCCCCATCTTTCGCGTGGCTGGCTTGCTTAGGTTTACTACACTTTTAAGGGTCTGTCTATGCTTGGCTATCGTTTCGGGATACATTGGTAACAAGTTGATTCGCGGGTGTGCTAGATGGTGCCCCACTAGATGACTTTCTTGGCTTTAATGGGTATGGTAGGACCTCTTCGCATTTTTTTTCCCAAACGGCATGGGTGCAGGAGAATGCGGTATCGCGGCCTACGGCTTAGAGGTGGGTATCTTAGATGACTAGGCGTTCGCTCGGTGTACAGTACAATAGTATCCAATAGGAAGCACCATTAGCTACTGTACTCGACTTCCTTATCTTTCTCCAAGTGGCCTGTGAAGTTGTCCTACCATAAATCACCCATGCCATTTCACAAGTACCAGCCTTTCCCGATTCTTGTTGAATGCGGCAACTTGTGCTACCGCCCAGGGTTTTTCAGGGAGACGGCAGCCCTTCTGTCATAAGCCAGACAGATGTATGACGCTACCGGGGGTAAGTCTAGTCGGTGTGAGATCGGAACGGCATCAGCATATGGTATCATACAGTGCTCCGGAACGCTAACACACTGAAGCACGTGCGGAACTCGGGGGAGGTTTTCTTTTTCCTTTTCAAAAAGAAAAAGAAAAAAACAAAAGTATAAAAAAAAAGTAAAGCCTGGAGGTCAAGAGGGGCCGGGGGATACGGCAAAGGTAAAATGCCGAAAAGTAATGTTTCATACCGACCCGACATAGGATGTAGGTAGAGAAGAGGGAAACCCAGGTGACGCGGATTGTAGAATCGAGTGATGAATAGTGACCGCTTGTCCCTCCCATGCGGGAAAGATTTCCTGTATATAAGACGATAAACACCACGGTACGAAAAGGGGGAGGTGCGGTTCCGTAACGGTAGTCGTATTATTATTATTATTCACAAGCGCGCTTCGTGTGAAAAGGAAAAAGGGAAAAGGGAAAGAGAAAGAGGAAGGAAAAAAAAAAGTTTAAAAAAAGATTAGGGAATCACGGGAAGAATGCCGGAGGGGTAAAGGGGGAGGAGGAGGAGGAGGAAGGGGGGGGGGGGGGGGGTGAACACTCTGTCCCCGAGTACCGTACGGTACCGTACTTGTGCTGTACGAGGACCCTTACTACCCTACAACATAATCCTCTCCAAAAGGATGAAAAGGTAAAAAAAATAAAAAATAAAATAAAAAGTCTAGGAACTTATCAGATCCATCAACGGAAGTGAGACCGTCATCCCAGGACAAGACAAGACAGGACAAGTTCAGCTTCCGAGCGGGGGGGGGGGGGTGGGTGGGTTCGAAAAAAGGCTAATAATAATAACAATAAGCCTTCTCGGAAGTCCTTCTTCCCCCGGAGTCCGAAGAATTTTGCAGGGATTCCCGTTATTTGATACGTACGGGTTTGACACTGACTGTCCAGAAGTGTGCTCGTACAGTCAGTCATCGTGCCGAGGGGGGCGGGGGGGGGTGAGTGACCGGTCGGTACGATGTACTTGTACTTGTACAGTACGAGATTGAAGTGGAGGGGTGTAGGAGCGGTGAAGGGGTGAATGGGTTATCGTATAGTAATAGTTATATAGTACAGTTTGTACGGATTGGTGTGTGTGTGTGCGGGTGTGTGTGGGTGTGGGTATGTGGGCGTGGGGTGAGTTGGATCGGGTTTTACATATGGTAGACGAGAGAGAGAGAGAGAGAGAAGGGGAAGAAGAATACAGCTAGTACCGTACCTGATGTCTATGGGTTAGAAGAGGGTGGATGGTTGGTTGGAGGTTTTGGTTGTTGAGAGGTTTTTGGTTTTGGCTCGTGTGTGGGAGAGGTACAGTATCATACGGTACTGGATGTATGTGGTACGATGCTAGTGCTAGTACAGCAGTACCGTACTGGTATTGTGCTTTGAGGATGGAATGGGATGGGATGGGATGGGATGGAATGCTGACTGCGCGAGTGAGGCCCCGTGAATGGGGCTTACGTACAGTATAGAATACGTACCAAAAGAAATGAGGAGTAAGAAGCAGTGGCAGACCTGTTAAAAGCAGGGTGTTTCTATTTTTTGTTTTTGTTTAAAGAGGACGGAAAACCATGCTGGCCGAGTATGATACAAGTACAGTACCATACTCTTATTTCCATATGTATCATGCCAGCATGCATGGCACAGTCTCCCTCACCAGCAACCCCATACCCATACTCGGGGGCGAGAAACCGTGCGTGAGGGGCAGGCCCTATTCTGCACGACGCGAAGGGATTTTTTTAAAAAAACTCTATTTTTTCGTTACCCTACTTGTGCCATACACTAACCTTTTTCTTTTCCTTTCCCTACCGGTATTCCCCTTTCGCCCCGGTGGGTGCGGTACTTGAACTCTAGAACCGCACCCGAACACGATACGGCAGGAACAACCTTAAGTTACCGTACGGGAGGATAATGTTCCGGAGGTCGGCAGGCAACCTCGACAAACTCGGCTACGGCCTCCGGCTGCGATCTGCCGAAGCAACCGACCGAAGCTGAGAACCGACGGGTTACAACGTACAGTACTATACCGGTATTCAGTACCGTACGGTAAATCAGAGAGCAACGGAGTACCGTGGAACCCCACCAGCATCGTCGCCATCGCTATCGTACTAGATCCCAAAGTTTACGTTACAGTACATACGATGCCCTATTGTATATCTCCGAAACCCCATCTCCATCTTCTCCGCGTCAAGGGGTGGACTTTCCACCTTTGGCGAATTTATTATTCATTATTTATTATGGGTACGGTATTCGGGTACGGATGAGTCGTGCTCCCTTCAGAGCATGATATAATAGTTTGCCGTACGGTACGGTATTATAGCTGTGAGGGCAGTCCACCGTACCGTTATTGTATCGTATCGTATTTTATTCGTGATGCATCGTTGCGAACACCGAATGGCCGAGCGACCAACCGACCGAACTCGTCGTTCGCTAAAACAGCTGACGATTTGATACGGGTATGATACGCCTCTGCGATAACTTATGACACAGGAAGGCGGAACTTCCTCACCTCGGAGTGCGAGTGCCGTACTCGTACAGCACAGCACAGGACAGGTCGAGCACTGGCCAAGAACAAGTGAGAAGCCGAAAATGGGAAAAAAAAACACAGGCAACTGCAAAAAAGCACAAAGTACAGATCACGTGATTGCATGTGATTCGGATGTGCGCACATGTGGGCATGATAGCGGCGCCGGTATCAGGTAATCCAGTGGGTACGGTTGATACCGGTATTAGTAATTTATTATGTGAAGGCGTGACATGATGCGGAAGGGCGGACGAATGAATGAGCAAATGTGTCGTATGTGTGTGTGTGGCATTTTATTTATTTATCTTACACGTGCCAGATTGTGATGATTGGGAGGGCAAGAAAAATAAAATAAAATATGGAAATCACATGTGACGGTTAGTGGGTTGGCATGTGGGTTGAGTTACCGGTATCGGTTGGGGGGAGGGGAGTGTTGGGCCGGGGGTTTCGGGGCATGAGTGGACATGTGCTGATGGATGATGGATGGGCGTTTTCTCCCTTCTGAGGGGTTTGAGTGTGGGACTCGAGTGCTGTACAGTGCCTTCTGTGATACCGGTATTGTGATACTAAGGAGGAGGAGTAGGAGGAGGAGTAGGAGGAGGAGCAGGCAACGGATGGGGAGGTATCGTGGGAAGGAGGAAGAGGATGAGGGAGGAAGGAAAGGGAAAGGGAAAGGGAAAGGGAGGAGAGAGAGAAGGATGGAGGCGCCTGCCCGGGGTTGGTCGGTTTGGTCGATTGTGGGAATGGGGGTTTTCTCCTTCGGCTTCTCGTGTGATGGATTATCTGTTGCCCTGGTCTATCCCCCTAGGATGTGTAGGAATTTGCAATCCTCAACCGCCCTCTCTTTCCTACTGTACTGTACTGAACTGTACGGGTGCTCTACGCTATCTTCCGCATTCAACGCCTTTAGCCATCCCCTCCTCTCCCCCCTCTCTCCCTCTCTCCCCGCCCGGCCGCCCGCACTCCACATCCCAACACTGGCATAGCCATCACCGCCCCCTCCTCGCCGGTAACATTGATTCTATCGTGGGTTGCTACAACGCGGGTGCTCCGCCAGCCTTGCACGAGCCTTATCTCTGTCGGCGATTGATGGATGACTGAGCGGTTGTCGATACCCTTTTGCTTTTTCCTCCCATTTCCCTCTGCTACTCTCGTTCTGGTGTGATACGCAGCTGAGGTTACCCGATTTAATCGGCTGGAGCTGGCCGGAGGAGTGGTGCCTAAAGGTCCGGTCTGTGTAAAAATAATTTGGAACAAAAAGGAATACGGTATCGACGGTGAGCGAGGGAAGTGCTGGTAAGTGTGAGTATCGAGCAGTTAGCAGAGCTGGCAGGAATAGGGCGAAACAAATAGGTAAATTCCTTTTTTTGGACGCGGCTCATTCGGCAGTCCCCTCACCTCCCTCCTCCACCTCCCTCCTTCCCTCTCTCTCTCTCCCTCGCGGGGGAGGAGGGCAAACTTACCCTTACGAGTACCTTACCTTACCTCACCTCACCTCACCCTCGCCCACTTCGCTTTTTTATTGTTGCCGTTTCTTTACCACCACCCCACGGATCGGAGGGGATTTATCATATTCTTTTTCTCTGTGGCCTCTTTCTTTTTTCTTTTTCTTTTCTTTTTCCCTTTCTTCCGCCCTTTTCCTCGGGTTTGTTGTTTCTCCTTCCTTGGCCTGGATCGAGTAACGAGAGGAATAGAGTGGGAGAAAGAAAGCGGGCGAGGATAGAATAGGGGGGAAATCGGGAAGCAAAGAAAATACAATAATGGCTACACGGACTCGCTTCAAATCTTCATCTCCTGCACCTTCTTCCTTATCGGCCTCGACAACGATGACGTTGGACCCCGTCTCAGCAGCAACTCCTCGCTCACAGCACACGGCCTCGACAACGACGACCACGACCACCGGTTTGCCCCCATCGAACTTTCAGCAGCAGTTCCCGCCGCAGACGCAGGCTCGCCATCACCCATACCCAAATACCGGCCACCTTCACCATCACCACGCCCACCCCCGAGGACCCCCACCCCGTCTCGATGATTATGTCGCAGCGAAGATTGCTCCGGAGGATCCAACCAAGCGATTCTCGTCGACACCCGATAACACACCGCTCGCAATACTTAATTTTCACAATGCGGTTCCCCGGAATTATGGGAAGCATTCGGTGCCTTCCTGTGGCCCTCTTCCTGTTGTGTTACCTCCCGTAGGGGGCGCAGGAGGGGGAGGGGGAGCGAATGATGTAGGGAGTGCTGGCCATGTTCTCGGACAACCACCCGCATCTTCCTACGGGGCTCACCGTGAGCCCCGCGAGGAGGAGGACGTGGTTCCGCAGTTTAGGTACCAGAAGAACGAAAGCTCGTACCACCATCGTTATGCGCCTACGGAGAAATCGAGATCGTTATCCATTCAGTCTTTGATATCTTCACCGGAATTGACCCCCCCAACATCATATTCGAATAGTGATGGACAGTCGGGCACACGGAAAAGAAAGGGTAGTGACGGGGATGTTGGGGGTTCGCATGGGACTCGCAGCGGCAGCATTGTTTCCACAACTGTTACTATGGATGATCCAGAGGTTCGAGAGGTTGTTGAGGCTTTAGGCGGACTGAAGGGTGGTGAGCACACTGGAATACTCTTGTTCCCTTTTTTTTTTTTTTTCTTCTTTCCCTTCCCCCCCCTCTGGCTCTGCTGCCTGGAATGGGGAAAAAAAAAATGAAAAATATAAAAGCAAAACAAAACAAAAAAAAAAACAAATTGGAACATAAATTAATAAATAAAAAGGGGTTTCGTCTGTAAATCTGTTTGATTTCTTTTTACTAAACTCTTTCACATGGAATTAGACTTCACTGCGCCGTCGCCTACCACCGCCAATCACCAGCTTCCCCCACACCAACGTAATCCATCCGGAGTTGCCGAGCAACAGCAGCCACAGCAGCAACAGCAACCGGAACACGAACCACTCATTAACCTTATCACCTCTTCCGCGCAGCGGGCTCACCCACTGATCTCCTCTGTGATCACTACGGGTCTCTCCGCTTACGGTGCTTCCAAGTCATACTCCCCCTCCTTCCGTTACGCCGCCGAGTCGGTGGAGAGTCGGGTTGGAGTGCCAGTTGGAAACGTGGTATCGGCAGTTGGACGGCAAACCGGATTGGACAGTGCGCTGAGGAGGGGTTTGGGAGGGAACCGGAGGGCCAGCTCGGGCGGGGAACAGCGCGCGGATACAAAGAAGAGGAAGACGAATAATAAGAACGGAGATTTGGAAAAGAGTGAGGAGAGTTTGAAGATCTTGGCCCAGCAGCACCAGCACCAACAACAGCAGAATACGTTAGCCAGGATGAATGGAGGAGATAATCGGGCTCCCGACGAGGGCACGAGTGATGTACGCATTGCGGCCCCGAACCAGACCTGGCCCACTAGGGTGGTGCTTAGTACATATGGGTTTGGTGCGGCGTTGAATGAAGAGAGTCTGAAGAATCTGAAGTATTGCTTGGACTGGCTTCGCTTCTTGAATGCGCACTTGGGGAAGCTAGTGTCTGCATTGAAGAGTGTTGTTGAGGAATTGGACGATCATCAACGATCCCAAATGGATGGGGACCGGCATGCCAATGGCGGAATAGCTAGAGCTCTCCCCATCTCCTATGAGAACTCGCGGGCCGTCCTTGCGGCAAAAGTCGAGAGTTTGAAGGGCGACGTGGTTGCCACGATGAAGAAGGTGGTGGAGGTGGTAAGCAACTACACGGGAAGTGCTCTACCGGAGAATGCCCGAGAGTTGATTAAACGTACTCCCCTTTCTTCCCCTTTACTTTCGCGGCGATTAACGTCTCCCTGCAGGCCACATATTTGCCCTTCCGCAACGTTTCCAAGCCGCCAACGCCTCGGAACTAGTCGAGAAGGATAAAGATGGCCCCATGTCTTCTGCTAGCAGAGCGCTGGTTTTGGCGAAGGAGGGCCTTGACATGATGCAGCAGGTCAGTGACGTTGTCGAGGGGACTATCGACCGAGCGGAGGAGTGGTGCGAGAGGCTGGGGAGGAAGAAGAGAGAACATGATGGGCAGGGTGGTGAGGATGAGAAGAAGATAGAATGGGTGGAGGGGAGAAGGGACGGGGATGGAGATGTCAAGATGGAAAAGCCTTGAGGTTAACACCCATGGCAGTGCCTCTGCTCATACTTTTTCGCCCTTCTTTTTGTTTGTTTGGAAGTATATATTTTTTGTGAGGTCGGGGTTTTATTTCTCTTTACATTGCTTTTACGGTGGCTGGCGCGTTGGCGGGTTACCTGGACGTTACGTCGATTGGCCGACCGGAATTGTTACGGAATGCATGGCTTGAAGGGGGAGGCGGGGCGGACGGAATACACTGGTAGGAATGGAGTACGTAGTGTTTTATTTTATTTTATTGTTACCCTTTCTCTATTATTTACTTTGATAACTTGTTCTCTTTGTTTATTTTGGAGATTGGTGGGCGTATCTTATTTTATTTACTTTGGTTGGGGTATGGATGGGATGGGATGGGATGGGATGGGGTGGGTAGGATGGGGTCTATGTTGTTGGATTCGATATATAGGGGTTTTTTGTTTGTTTGCTTGTTTTGCTGTGTGTGCATGTTCTATCCAAGACGAAAGAAGGAAGGAATCTTTAAATATCACGATAAATAAAAAAGGTTGGGGGTTTTGCTTCGTTATGTAATACTAGCTGGATGTGTGATTTGTTTGCTCCAAAGTGAGCCATCGCCATGATTGGGGTCAAGATATGATACGGGTATGGCATCCTTCGATAACTGCAGTGATATTAAACTCGCTCATGGGCTAGCGCGGGTACCGTGCGTCGGAACTGGGATCTTTACTGCAGCACAGCACAGTACTGTACAGTACGCACAGGGCGTGTCGGTAGTCGGTAGAAGCGTTGACCTGCCCGTTTCCAATCCTACTCGCGATCGTCACGCCCACCCAGTACGAGTATTGTCCGAGTACAGTACCCGCAAGCGCATCCATCCCCAGATGTAGTAACCCATCTGCCCCCGACCAAGCGATACCCTCGTGGATTCCTTCCCCCCTGTCAATATTGGTAGCACCTCTTCTTTTTCATCAGAGTGGCACCGGTACTTGGAGTGTAGACCTTGGCATAAATTATTATTACACTGACGCCAAGTTACAAGTACTGTACCGGTACGCGTACCAGCATGATAATAATATAATGGGGGCACGGTAAAATGTTTGACCAACTTGAGGAGTAGACGACAGTGGACTACTGTAGTTAGTTAGGGCCGGGAGCGGAAACCCGGAAATCGCGACTGTGGCGTGCGTTAATTACGGTGAGTTATGATATAATGCTAACGGCAGAGCGTAGTAGCAGCACGCTAGTCCTAGAAAGGATTCGGGCGAGCAGGTTTGAAAAGTAGGCTGGGATGCGGAGGAAAATGAAGGGGAGAAAAAAAAAAAGCTTGTTTTTTTTGTACTTTTATGATGAGTTGGATGGATAGATACCAGTAGGTGATGAAGTGAAGCGGGTTGGGTGGTCGTTTTTGTTGTGCACTGGGGGAGAGGTGGGGGAGGGGAAATCATAGTCCGAGAGACTTTTGAGTATTAAATGATGTAATGCTTGAACTCTATCTATCATTTATAGTCTGCCGTGGTAGTTCATATTATGTTTTGGGTAGTATTACACCGTCCGGGGGATCATAGTACTGTACTTGTACTTGTACTGTATAAGTACCGTACCGTTACTCGCGCGCGTGGGTACAAGGAAGCATTGAGATTGATTGATGGTCGTTAGTCGAGTGGAGGGAGGGTCTTGCGGTCTACTGTACTGCGTGCTTGTACAAATACTTTCATACTGTGTAATATAATATAGTTTGGCGCAGTCCTGATTGGGTAGAAGGCCGGGGGAGAACGACTCGAGAGTCTTCGTGGTGATCTTTCTCGGCTTTTGGTTTATGATATGGGAATCATAACTGACTGACTTGTTAGGGCCTGCTTGGCGGGAACGGTGGGCGGGTCGACTGTTCTGTTCATGGATGATGTTAGCTGGAGAAAGGGTTGTCTTGGCACCTTCAGAACGGGGCGGAACGGTCGTATGATACGGTATCTAAACAGGCCTCTATTATATCATACAGAATAAGAAACTTTGAAGGAGGTGTCCATGGGCTAAGGGTAAGGATCTGATATGCTCCCTTCGGGGCTGGGAAAGATTGTTTTTTTTGTTTTTTTTTCCTTTCTTTTTTTCCTTTCGATATCAAAATTTACCGTGATTCCCCATCGTGCATTGGATGACCCCCGGAGAAGTGCTGTGTTTGAGCTCTTGTGCGCTGGTACAGTATAGTACTTTACGAGAAATGTACGGAAAGCCAAAGATGGTACTGTATTATACGAGTGCGTTTTTCGTGGGGCTGTGTTCTCAGTATTTTCGGTGACCGAAGTATCATACTGGACTTCTCTTCCTTGCAAAGGTAATTTAGAGCTAGGATGGTGGGGGTGGTGGGGCCTGTTATTGTGAGCTTGGAATGTAGATAAGCTAGAGTTCCTTGACCGATAGGATGGGTGAAGCGGAACGGGGGGCTCGAGTCCCCAAAAGGCTTGTCGGTGGTCGGAGAGAGTTGGGATGGCGGCGTTTGGGGTGTGGAGTTGAATTAAGGGAAAGGAGGCGGACCTGGCCGGTGTGGTAGAAGGAGGGCGCACAGCCAGGGTATCTCGTGGAAGATAATTGACTGCTGGTATAGATCTAGCGGCTACAATGGATGGAAGGGTTGTCGGGGGGGGGGGGGCAGTTTTCATTATGTTCCGAGCTCTGAAGAGCAAGTCCTTACCGGCCAGACCAGAATTTTGAGGTTCTAAACCGAGCTGGACTGGCCTCTTGATCGCTGCTGTGGACGACGCGAGAGGGAGTTTTGGGCCAACGTCAATTTGGTTGATACTGCACTGGCAATCATCTCTAGGCAAGGACTGCCCCACGCGTGCACCGTAGATCCGTTTTGGAAGGCGTTTAGACGCCAACCCACTTTCATTAACTTTGGGTACTTTCAAGTACGCTGGCATGCTGGACGCACCACTACCGATTCCGCACTGTCTGTCTTACCGGTAGTTGGAAAATCGTCCCTGGAATGATGGGTACGTCCCGGTGGGCAACGAACTCCCCAGGACAGAACTCACGATCGTGCTTCGCCCCCGACTCATGCACGGCGCCCCACCCATCCTGTCTTTCCTTTCTTTACTTTATTAAATAATCCGCCTCCTGAACCTTACCGCCAACAACAACCCCAAAATGCCGTGAAGCACAGCTTTCAGCTCATCCCTCGTCTCGACAACGCAATGGCAAACTAACCAACTCTCCCGAGGGATCACAAGAGCCGAGGTTTTTGTTCTGTCGCGTCGTGCACCAGTTAAAAAAAGGTATGGTATTTTAGGCTGTTTGAGCTGCTCTGTGCTGTACTCGAGTACAGAACATGTATTCGGCACGAGGTACCCAAACACGGGGATCAGAGGTTTGTATGGGAAATCATCTGTGCACATCTGGGCGCCCATACCGGTACCGAATTCGGAATCAGATGTTCTGGTACTTTGCGCTGGGATACCTGGACGGTTGGGTGCCCGCTTCCCCTGATTCCTTGTGCATCTATGACAGGGTGCAGGGAGGGAATCGAGGAGAGACAGATGTGAGAGTGTGGATACTTGGGGATCGTCTTATTTTTATTTTATTTTTTTCTGTTTTGTGCACGGAGAAGGGTCGGATGGTGGTGGTGGGGGAGGGGGGGTAGGTTTTTCTGATTCACCGCGCTGATTTTAACTTGGTCATGGGAGGCGATTTGGTATATACTCCTACCTTCACGGTACACTACAGAACCTACTGCCTAGAAAATGGATGAATCACGGGTAACTTACCCGACTGACTGGAGGGCTATCATTCATAACGCTGGATCATATCATATCATGTCATTTCTGTCGGTGTTTCAATCTGTCCGCCGCTTTGTCGATCATAACTTATATTGTGCAAGTACAGTACAGCACGCACGTCCCATCCGGTCGGCCCCACTATAGCCCAAACTGGAAACGCAGGAAGGAGGCTCCCCTCCCGTCAGAAGAATTCTCCGAAAAGGCGGCCCGAAAGCCGGGATCACTGCTAGGGATTGCATCTGTTATTGGGAAGGCATCTGTGACTGTGGTATTGCTGTAGCGTGGGGAAAACCGTGAACGATGCGGTACTCCACTACCTCAGCCAGGCTTCGTAAGAGCTCAGAGTTCTCAGGAGTCTTTGTTTTGGTGATAGTGTGGCCTGGGAAGCTACGTCCCTTTGGTGGGCTAGCAGAAAACGTGGCAAGGGGGAAGGAAGTGGGGGGATACCGTATTCTACTCGTGTACTCAGACTTCTTTTCCTTTTTTTTACCCCCTCGCTTGGCCATACTATCTCCGGTCTGTTTTGGAAAGTTCCGTGAAGGAGCAACATATGGCTTGCCTCGCGGTGTTCTGCTCTTCTCCGCTTACTGTGTTTTTTTTTTTTTTTTTGTCAGTAATGACTTCTGCAGATGGACTAACTCTACTTTCGGTACATTATCGCGCGATGAGGTGCCGCACTCACAGGGCGCAGGGCGGACTCGCGCAATTCCCCTCGTACATCGCCACGATGCCCCACGATCATAAATCCCTCTGCGAAGAAACGGTTCATCGGATGATATTCTGCGACGGTGCGGTACAGTACAGTACTGTATTGTACAGTGCACGCCGGTGCGCAAATGAGCGACGTGTGTGCTCACAAAAACACGTATCGTCGTACAAGTTTACTGGTACGATACTGCCGAGCGCCGGATCGGATCTGATTGGCAGGAGGGGGGGGAGGTGGCAAGAAGGCTGGAATGAAACGGCATGTGATGCTGTTCAGTACCGTCGAGATAAGCTTTGGGAGAGATGGAGAAAAGTTGCCCGTTTGGCCGCGCTTGGCGAGGCATGGAAAGCCTTTGGGAATTCACATTCCTTGGTTGTTCTTGCCTTTGCTGGCAATTGCGGGGTTCCTGTGGGTGGGTGGGGGAAAAATAAAAGTTGTTGCGGGTATAGTCGGGGCTATTGGCGATGCTGACTCGTGGAATATCTGTCGTGGTGCTGTACTGTATTATACAGTACTGGTAATATATCGGGTAGGGTATCGCATTGCATTGCATTGCGTTCCTCGCCGTGCTATGAGTTACTGGGGGTGAATTGCAGATCATGCGGACCCCGAGTTACTTGCTTGCAGTGCAATGCGTACATATAAGGGACTGGCATCTCGGGCTACCTTCGCATCTCATCACCATCAGTTATTAGATCGATCCGTCCACTCCTATGACATTCTGGGGCAGAGGGGATGTTGGGTTGTGATGCGTGGGTGAGTCCTAAACAGGAAGGGGTGAATTATCTATCGGCAGGAATTATAGCCTCTTTCGGAAAGAGCGACTGGGTATTCTAGCCATGAGCCTACTGTCGGGTCCGTCAAGAACGTTGGATACTTATAATACTAATTCCCGA